CTTACTATAAATAGTAATAATTTATATATTTTTATAATAATTTTAAAAAAAGTCTATAATATAAGCAAAAAATTTTGTAATATAAATAATAATAATTTTTTAATTAAACAAGTTTATAAAATTTTCTATATATATTAATAAATAATAATTATAATTAATATAAATAAGTATATTAAATTTAGTATTTTTAAACTTATAAAAATTATTAAATTAAAAAATTTTTTAAAAAAAATTTATTATTAATATAAAAAATATTACTAAACAATTTTTGTTATTTATTATATAAAAAATCAATTTTTTAATTTTTTTAAATTTTTTATAAATTTTTAAAAATATAATACAAAAGCCTAAATCTTATCTATTAATTAAACAATTTACAATTTTTATTTTTATACTTTTTAAAATAAATATACCAAAAAGAACAAAGCAAGTTAAATATTATAGTCAGTAAAATCATTTTAAAAAAAATTGTAAAACTATTAAAAAAATTAATAATTAATACAAATATTACAGATTTTACAACTATTAATAATACAAATAATATATTATCTACATTATTTGCTACTCAATCTAAAAATCTTGTTAATAGAATTACTACTCAAACTAAAAATTTTGTTAATACAATTGTTACTCAGACTAAAAATTCTATTAATATAATTGCTACTCAGACTAAAAATTTTGTTAATACAATTGCTATACAAACTGAATCTAATATTAATACAGTTGTTACTCAAACTAAAAATCTTGTTAATATAATTGCTATACAAACTAAATTTAATATTAATATAGTTTCTACTCAAACTGAAAATTTTAGTAATACAATTGCTATATAAACTGAATTTACTGTTAATACAATTGCTATTTAAATTGAAATTATTATTATACAACCTAATGAAATTCAAATAGAGCAACCAAATAAAGGGGTAGGTTAAAGCCAGATATATCACGAGATTATCTGATATATAATCCAGATTAGTCTGAACAAAACAAAATAAGATGTCAAAGACAAAAACACAAAAAATATAAAAAATGACTATTTAAACTGGTCTAGATACACTAAGTAAAAGTGTTGAAAATATATTTTTACTATATAAATATATTTCTTTTAACACTAACCCTAATATTAATTAGTTTTAGTTAAACAATTCTTTTCACTGATCATCAAAACACAAAATTTCTGAAAATAAATTTTAACAAAAAATATAAAAAACACACAAAAG